AGAAAATACAATCTCATTATTTCAATTAAAAGGAGAAGAAGAAAAGGAAATTATATATTTCGTGGATGGATAAATTATACTATATTTTAAAATTAAAAGAGGTTTTACAATAGAATGAATTTTTTTAATGCAAGATAAACAGTATTAAAACAATATTATTTTTACAACCAGTATTCAAAAAACATTATTCTTGAGATTTTTTTTTCAAAATATTTTTGACAATAATTTAATTTTTAAATTAGTTTACTTTAGCGATAAAGTACATAACTAAAATACAGTTTAATAGTAGAAAATACAATCTCATTATTTCAATTAAAAGGAGAAGAAAAAAAGGAAATTATATATTTCGTGGATGGATAAATTATACTATATTTTAACATTCGTGTGAGAATCGAGTTGTTGAGGAAATAAATAAACAAGCCTGAGCACCACAAAATTAGCGGAGCACATTCGATGCTTATCACCGTGATGAGCACCGCATGGTCATCAGCCCTAAATAAATTTGGACCGTTCAGATTGATTTAAATACCTTTTTAAATTTTTTATTTTTTAAAATAAAAATTTATAAATTTTTAATAAATATATTTATTATTAACATATATCATCTATATTTAATCAGACGAATTTATTAATTTTTTATAATTTTTTATAAATTGACCATATAAATTTAGTGTATACTCTTTAGATTTAAAATTTTTAACTTGTTATATTTATTAAATTCAAAACAGTTTAGAGTAAATCTGTATCATCAATTTATAAAAATTATAAAAAATTAAAATTAAATTTAAACTGATCTGATTAAATATAAATAATATATGTTAATAATAAAATATATTTATTTAAAATTTTATAAATTTTTTATTTTTAAAAATAAAAAATAAAAAAATTAAATTTAAATCATTCAAATTAAATTTAAACGATTTAAATTCATTCAGGGCGATGAGCACGTGATGCTGGGCATTCAATGTGCTCCTCAGAGTTAGCAGGAGGTGAAGAGAAAAGGGAGGGGGAAAAAAGTTAGTAAAGGCCCTGGTCCCAAAATTGGACAAGTTCATAAAAGAACGGGACCAGATGGACCAGGACCACAGTGGTCCCGGTCGTACGCGATTGCATCTCTATCATTTCGTTTCCGTTTCCACTTTGAAGTAAAAAAGAAGTGGAAAATAAATAAAGTTATTTCATAAAAGCATAACAAACATCGATTGTGGATATTACACGCTCCATTGACGCTAAATCGGTCTCCTTAATTAGCGCTGTCATTTATTCCACGTTGGTTATGATCACAGGTGGTTGTTCTCACGCTACCAAATGGACATTATATTATCTTATATGTAGAGATAACAATTCATGTGATCATGTGACTTAACTAACTCAACTCAAACATGCTTTGCCAGTTCGACTTTCGAGCCATGAGATTTATACTAATAGTTATAGTAAACTCCCAAAAAGCCAACAGAGACAAACTTGTTTAAACTTTCACCCTGTTGAGAAAGAAAATTCATGCTCCACAGCTCAAGGAATAAAATGTCCATGAAGTCATATGTAAATTAAACTTAGCGTATCGTGATCAATATAATCATTCATCGATATATTTGTATGTAAAATATTAAAAATTATTTATAAATAACACTCCTTCATCCCAATTTGCAAGATCTTTTTTGACAAAATTATGCATGCTAATAACATTCATTGAATATACTTCATGATCTTATTTTTTAAAATATAAATATAAAATTTTAAAAGTATCTTTTATTTAATATAATCTTGCGTGTGAAATATTAAATGGAGAGAGAGAATGTAATAAAAAGAAAAGGATAGTATTGAAACAATTTCAATGAATCTTTATTTTTGTTAAAATTTTTTATGTTAATTATATCTAAAAGTGACTTAACAATTGAGATAGAAAGAGTAATACACTCACTCTATTTTAAACTTTTAGAATGTTTAATAAAAACATTAGAATGCAGATAGATTTCCATTTAGTTATTTATTATTTTGATCATATTTATTTAAGAAAAATAAAAAGTGATCCTAATGATAAGAGTCAAGTAAAAAGATGAAATAATTTTCAAATTTTACCCTTTAATTTGAGAAGACAATATTTGTACAGACAACAGAGTGACTCATAATCTTTTTTTAATTAATAAGGTTATAATTAGAATATTATGATGCATTTTAAAAAATAAAATAATGTTATAACTTTTCTTAAAATATATAATAAGGATCTCAAACATTTTATAAATAGAATCGAATGAGATATATTATTTTGCAATTCATCCTATGGCTTAGTGATGTGAGGCTGTGTGGTGGGTTGAATGTTACTTATATTAGCCGTACGTGATAAAAAAAACAAAAAAAGGTTTGTTAGCGAGGCCCCGCTGCAATTTTTCCCCACTTTGTTCTAAGTATATAAATCTTGTCTTTCACGCGTTGCATTCACCAGTAAAAATAGTAAAATAATAAAAAATATTATTTAATCTTGAGACTTCTACAATTATAACTTATGTTATAAAACAAAATAAATAAGCAACTTAACATTAAATTAAATAAACAATTTAATATTTATTATATTTTATATTATAGTTGATTTATTATATTTATTAATAATATCAATTGGAACCAGCCACACTTACTCTTAGATATTAAAATATTTAAAAAAATTAATCTTTTAGTTCTCCAACTTTTAAGTAACTTGTAACTCAATCCCTCAATTATGACTCGCTGTGACTCAGTCTCTCAACTTTTGAATCACTTACAAATTAGTCCCTTAATTTTTGTTAATTTTTTTTCATATTAGCTTACATCTCATATTAATGAATAAGAAGAGGGTATTTTAAAATAATATATGAGTATTTTTTTATCCCTCTTATTTGATAAAAAATTTTTAAAAAAATTAAAAAATAAAGATCGAGTTATAGGTAAATCAAAAGTTGAGGGACTGAGTTGCAGCGAGTTATATTTAAGGGACTGAGTTGCAACGAGTCATAGTTGAGGGACTAAGTTATAAGTAAGTTAAAAGTTAAAGGACTAAAAGATTAATTTTTTCAAAAAATTTCAATAGGAACCAGCTGCACTATGAAATATTCAAATTTTTTTCCTTCAATCTTTATATTTTTATCCCAATTAAAACTCATTTTTAAAATTTTAATTCAACACAATATAATTTCTATAACTTTTATCCCACTCAAATTTAATTCTTAAATTTTGACTTGATGTACTCTAATTCTTAAAATTTAAAATATATAAAATATTGATTCATAATATTCAATAATAAATTCAACTTTAGTTGTTATAATTTAATTTTTTTTTTTGCCAATACAGTTTAATCTTTATGGAACATGTGAACTAGCATTTGAAATAGTAGATAATTGTCTTATAAGGATGGGGTCGAAACGAATTAAAATTATAGCAGATAAAAATTTTAGTTAAGTTAAAGTTATAAAAATTTAGTTGTAAAAATCAAAATGTATATACTAAATTTTAATCAAATCAAAATTATATAGAATAAATAATTAATTTTTTTCAAAATACTACTTGTCAATTAGTTTCCTTGAAAGTGCATAACACTTTTCAATTTTTAAGTTGCTCATAAAGTATCACTCAATGCTTAGATCAATTGATTGAGAAGTTGGTTTAACTTAACTACATGCCCAATAAAAGCAAGAGAAAGTTGCTGGTGTTTTGACATTTACACTGTCAAACATTCACACTTCAGTTTTTTAGAAAAAAATATAATTTTTTTGGTTCATATAGTTTTATTAAATTTTATTTTTAATTTTTATATATTTTTTTAGTGTTTTCAGTCTTTATGAAGACTAAACATACTGAAAAACTGAAATTATAAAAATTTAAAAAACAAAGGTCATTCAATATTTTTTAAAATACAGGGATTAAAAATATTAAAAAAAATTACAAAGATTAAAGATAAAACTTAATAAAATCATAGAGACTGATGATTATATTTTTATTTTTTTTTAATCCAAATGTCAGAACTAGTCGTTTAAAAAGTTTCAGGATTCTTATACTTTGTATTATCTTTTTATTTCGACTGGAAACATATAATAAAATACAAAACCTGAGATATTTTCCGTGCAAAAGAATTGAAGCACATGTTAAAACAAAGGGGTTCAAGTAATCCTTAGCTTAACCTTGATTGAAAGCTTAGCACATAATTATTCTTACCCTCTAATGGCTGACAATACAATGAATAATAAACAACTACTTGAAGGATTATATTGGGACCATCCCCATCAATATCAATAATTTACTGTATAAGAAAGTTCTAGCCATTATTATATATATCTTCAAATATTATATACTAACAAATAACACAATAATCCAAAAACCACCCTACACAAGTAATCAAGTCTTCACAGACGGAAAAATGATACTTAATCATTTCCTGGTTAAGCCAAAACTCTTTTCACATGACACACATGCAAGACACTTCCTTAGGTTATATAATGTTGGTCCTTACTTACTTATCAATTTAATGTTTTCTTATGCAGACAAAATTCAACTACCATATGGTATCATAAATTAAATATAACTTAAATAAGTTTTGACTCAAAACTCCTTGTATATATTAATAAAATTGACTGGCTTTTGCTATAAAAAAAACCTAAAAAAACTCCTGCCAATAACGTATTTCCATCTGATTCGTGCAAGTTTGCTGAATTAAAAAAAACATTAAAAGTGAACAGATAATTTCAACCAATCAATTTCTTATTAAAATTTGATGAATCATCCACCTAACGATATCAGAATAGACCTCACTTATTGAATATTTGTCCTTCACAGAGCCCACTCCTCCGGTTACGCCTCATTCGAGCAACACGTGTTCTATTTTATTGGCTATTTTTATCGAAACAATAATATAAGTTACTACTTCGTTAATTATTCTTCAAAATACAATAAATAAAAAATGAAATTGATTGATCCCTCCGGTGCGGTTCTTACAAGTAGCTACGAGCTACCTGTTCTTCTTCTTCACTTTTCTCCAACGTCTTTTCACTTATTGCTATTAATGGCGCTTCCGAACTCACAGACCTTACTATTCCGGTAACTTTGTTGGAAAATTTCATCATTCTATCTCTCTCCCTCTCCCTCTCTAGTTGTTTTCTGGAGCTTCATTCTACTCTAATCTTCTCTACAACTCACCCGCTGGGAAAGTTCTTCTCCGGCGGTAGTACTTCCAGTTCAAAAATGGCCGAACAATTTTCGAGCTCCGTTGAGTTCGGACTGAGGCTCTCGAAGCGAATTTTCTACGGCAAAGGGTCGCTTTCCGCTCCGATACCGGAGCCGGCGATATCCAAGACTACGGACGTGTATATACCGACCGCACCGATGTGTTACGCGGTGGTACCGGAACCCGATATAGTTGACAATCCGGATATTCGGACTTACCAGCCGTACGTGCACGGCCGGTGTGAACCGCCGGCGTTGATCCCACTACACATGCACGGAGTAGCCGTGGAAATTGAGTGTTCCCTGGATACGGCATTTGTTACAGTTAGCGGAACATGGCGCGTCCATTGTGTAAGATCGAGTAAAATTTGTGATTGCCGGATTGCTATACCAATGGGAGAACAGGTAATACATCTTGTTTACTGTATTGCTCTGATGAAGACAATAGCGATAGAGATAGATGCTATTAAAGTCGTTCCAATAAATAATCATGACTGCTAAATTGATATTTTTATGGGGCCGGCATCGTCTGTCATGTTAATGACGGCCACTTGGAAGCTATACCACTTCTCAATGCTTTAATTGAAGTTCATCATTTTGATCAACCACTCTGCAATGAACATACAACTGTCGAATCATCTGCTACGTTAATCCTGCCTTCTCAACAATCTATCATTCTATCGCAATAGTTATTTTCATGGTGTCCTAGACTTGAAGTTTTGTCCCTCAAGGATGCAAGTATCACTCTGTTTTCCATTAATCATTTGCGTCCGCAATTTTTCTTTCGGGAAAAGGATCAAATCTCTTATCAACTTTGTTTTCGGGGCATAACTTAAAATTTAATTTGCATATCATTGTATAAATTCATTATTCTCCAAGATTCTGCACTCAAATAACTTTTAGGTTTCACTTCGTTGTTGTTCTCGATTCCATGTTGCGTAACTAATTATGATCACGCGCTTGATAAATTGTGTTCCTGTTTCATCTATTATTCTTAAGTTGATGGCTCCCTCATCATTGGTTCATGTTTAACTGCTTGATGAATATCTGCACTGTCCTTTTATCTGAGGGTTACAGTTTATTTTGTGAGTTCTCAAGTTAAATATATGATGTGGCTAACAGGGTTCACTTCTAGGTCTTGAGGTTGATGATAGTGGAATATCTTATCAAACTGAAGTTATCACTCCAAAAGATGAAGGAGATGTAGGGAAAGCAGCTAAGGCAAAAGATGGATATTTCTTGAAAAGCCAAATATACACTGTCAAGATTCCACAGGTTATTACTAAATAGCACAGCGGAGATTAACATCATTTATTTACTTAATCAATTAATAGTTTTACTCATACAAAATAACATCTTTCAGGTTAGGGGAGGCTCTCGTCTTTCAATAAAAATCAGATGGTGTCAGAAATTGCTATATCATGATGACCAGCTCTCAGTTCGTGTACCTTTTAGTTTTCCTTCATACGTCACTCCAGTGGAGAAGAAAAGTTCAAAGAAAGAGAAGATTTTTTTGAAAGTACACTCTGGTCTCGCAGCTGAACTGTTATGCAAAAGCAGCAGCCATCCTGTTAAGGTGAAACATTGAGGTGGCATTCCATAAATGGACATTCTAGTATCCCAAATTTCTGGGAAGCAGAAACCTGTCCTTGTGCGTGTTTGAGTATTTAGATGTATAAAACAATAAGCTTTCAGTCTTATTAGGACACATACAACTCTTGAGTTTTCCACTATTTTATCAGTACCCTTGCATTCCACGTATCTCAAAAATTAAAATGCTTATGCACTAAACACCATATTAGGCCTTCAAATTCTGTTTGGCCTCTATTAGATGTGAACTAAGAGACTCTTTTACTTTCCAGGAACTAACTCACCAATTTGGCAAGTTGAGTTTCTCATATGAAGCAGAAGTGCCGGCATGGTCAACTACAGACTTCAGTTTTTCATATGCGGTAAGACCTAGAAGCAGACTTCTATAAAAAATTTTAATGAAATTCCATGTAAACTCTTATCCATTGACGTTCAAGAATAGACCCGAATGCCATATATATAATGCATTGAATATCACAGGTTTCTTCAGCTGACATATCTGGTGGCATGCTCTTACAATCACCATTCCTCCGTGATGTTGACCAAAGAGAGATATTTTGCTTGCATCTTTACCCTGGAAATAGTCGAAATAGGAAGGTTTGTTTTAATTAATTCGCACTTGATTTTTTCTTATTTAAAGTTCGAAGTACTTCTGCTCTTTCTAGTACATTTATCAAGATTTAAGATGAGTCTATGTGTTAGTAATGCATAGTAGGGTTATGTTGCAACTTGCAAGTAAGATGCCTCTACATCCCTTCCCTATCCATGTACGGACAAATGAAGTGAATTACACTGTTCTTGTAGTGCTTCTTAAGTATGAATGCATGATGCATCTAGAGGAACAATTCTAATGTAGAGCAATAATATAGCTGCATTTACAAATGAGTTTATAGTAATAAGAAATATATGGAGCTTCAAAATGGATGCCGGAAGCAAATTACTTTTAAGGATTAATGAGTATAGAAATGCAGCCACTGTTGTGCTGTTATCCAGCCATTTGAGGAAACAAAACAACCTATTGTGTCAAGTTGCCTTGTTTGCGAGCAAAGTTTCTTTAACCAATTTTTAATTTTTTTTTTTTAATGTGTTCTTATTTATTTGCTCTTATAGACTTTCCGAAGGGATGTGGTATTTGTCATAGATATAAGTGCAAGCATGAGAGGGAGTCCGCTTGAAAATGCAAAGAATGCACTTCTGGCATCACTTTCTCAGCTAAATGCCCAGGATACATTCAATATTGTAGCTTTTAATGAGGACTTCTACTTGTTCTCATCATCAATGGAACCTGCAACAGAAGGAGCAATGTTAAATGCTACCCAATGGATTGATACTTCGTTTATTGCCAAAGGTGGTACAAACATATTGCTTCCCCTAACTCAGGTATTTTTGTCTTTGTTTAAATTTTCAAAATGATACTTGGACAATTCTGCCACACTTCATGGTTTTTATGTTATAATATTTCCTCATTATGTTTTTTAATAATTCAACTGCGCTAATGAATGTATTTACTTCTAAAAGGTGCTTAAAATTTAAATGCCACCATTTCATGCGCTTATTTCTGCATTTTCATTATTTATATGATGTCATGAAACCATCACCATGCATTAATAAACTTTATGACAGTTAGTTTGTTCTGTGTTATTTTTCCTTTCTGCATTTATTTGTGAATCTATGGGATTTGTTGTAGTTACAACCAATGTATGCATATTTTATTGCTGTCACAAAGTATATGCCTTAGCTTTTCATGTGCGGTATTTCTTTGGAACGTGATGGTAATATTGAACATAGGCATAAAAGTTTGGTGGATTACTGGCATGATTGCTCTGATAGATCGTGTATATATTGTATCACGTGTGTTGTAAGTCCTGCTTTGGACCTTGTCCATTGATTTTGATTGTTGAGTTCTTAATGTTCTCATGTTGCTGTAGCCTCCTCATCCAATATTGTATTCTTTCTTAGGCAATGAAGCTATTTCAGAAAACTACTGATTCAATCCCTCTCATTTTTCTGGTTACTGATGGAGCTGTTGAAAATGAAAGAGAGGTCTGCAATCTTGTTAAAAGCTACGTCACAAATGGGCAATCAATTTGCACTCCTCGCATGTGTACTTTTGGCATAGGCAAGGGCTCTACCCTTCTTCTCTTTGTAGTCTTAAGAATTGCATCTTATGATAAGCTGAAGTTGATAATTTCTTCTGATATTAATACTTGAAGCATCATAACTAATGCAGATTTCCTGTAGTTGATGCTTGACAATATACTTTCCTGTTGGAAATTTCTTTCAATGTCTTCGCTGAGAAACTTCAACTATGTGCATTATGTTGCTAGTGACTTTTATTGATGCATATGTGACCAAATTTATAAGTTTGAGTTGTCAGTAATTGGTCACTCCTTTATATGTCTATCTTTTTGCAATTTGCTTTGTCCAACTGCTTTACTTCTGAATTTTAATTTGAATAATTTTCAGGTTTATATTGTAATCACTACTTTCTGCAAATGCTAGCACAAATTGGGAGGGGTCACTATGACGCTGCTCTTGATCTAGGTTAGCGTCTTTCCCTAACATGGAGGCTTCAATTATTGCTTCCAATCAGTTTGCCCCTCAAGTTCGTACTTTTCTTTAAAGAACGTTCCTCAACTGAACTTTGTTTCTCTGCTTCTGTATCTGCAATATGATTATGTTACTGATTACAATTGTCACCCGGAGTATCAACAATGTCAAATTTCAAGTATTCATGTTTTCTTAAAATTTGATACATCGTATAGTCCTTGGGGAGAAAAGTTAATTGCCAAATCTAATATATTTGATGTTATACTAATATCGTGTTCTATTTTTGTCTTGTCTAGATTCAATTGACTTTCGAATGCAGAGGTTATTTAGATCTGCTTCGACAATCATTGCTTCCAATATAATGGTGGAAAGTTTAGAAGGTCTTGATTCACTGGAGGTACTTTATTAGAAGCACAACTCTCCTGGTTATAACCTGAATAATTTATAATGATTTCTTGAACTTACAACTGGCAACATGTTTTTCAGTTTTCTTGTTTACTCAGGAACATGTGTCTCAAGTCATCTGTCTTCGCCATGTAGTTTTTGTTTTTTTTTTTCCGCCAAGTTTTCTCTATATAGTGACTTGCGCTGTTCTTTTCCTTTTCCTTCTTATTTTTGGTTGCAGTTATTTCCATTTTATATTCCCGACCTTTCACTTGAAAGTCCGCTGATTATATCAGGAAGATATGATGGAACCTTTCCTGATTCGATTAAAGTAAAAGGTACTTTGGCAGATATGAGCAACTTTGAAGTGGACTTGAAAGTGCGAAGGGAAAAAGATATTCGACTTACAAATGTAACCTTTCATCTCTTGTGCTACCCCCTCCCCTGAGAGTTTGCCAAGTTTCTGAGTAATTTGAACGGTGTATAACTTCCTTTAATTAGTCTATTCCTGGAAGCATGCACAACGGCTAAACGATGCCTGATTTTTGTTCGATACTTCCATCAGGTACTTGCCAAAAGACATATAGATTTTGTCACTGCTAAGGCATGGTTATTAGCAAGTAGAGAGCTGGAGGAGAAGGTTTGTAAATCTCATACTTCACTATTCATGGAATTTTTTCCTAAAAATAAAAATAAAACTAAAAAGAGGAGGATTGGATAAGTTCATGGTGATATCCTATCATTTAGTTGAAACTAGGAATATGCTTTTCACGTTTTTTTACATTGTTAAGCCTTAAGCGACACCTATGCTTTATGTCTTCTCCCTCCTGTTTTCAACTCATCAATAAATTAAAACTGAATTTCGATTGAGTAACAGTTTTTAGTTGAAATATGAATAATTGGTAATAGTACATATATTTCTCTCTTGCTGATTACAAACAAACTGTAAATGTCAAATTTCTTGATGAAAGGTTTCCAAAATGAGCATACAAAACAAAGTCCCCTCGGAATACACCTGCACGGTTCTTGTGAATGCTGAGAAGGAAAGGGGGAAGAAGGCACCACAACCATTCCTGATACAGAAGGTAAAGTTTTGTCCCAGATTTTAGATAGACCAGGCCAACTGCCCCTGTTCGTAAAGGGGAAAAAAACTTGAAGTCAGGTGCAACTTGTCATATGTTACTATTAGGTTTTTGGCTAAATTATACGTTATTTCCCAGAACTTTGAACCATATACTGATTTAGATATAACATCCTTAACCTTTAAAGCTTTACAATGAGCCTTCTCAACTCTTATATTTATGTAGATAATTCTATATAATTAATTTTATACATTAATTATTTATGCATAATTTAAAATTTAGGAAAGTTATATGTATATCAGTCAAAGTTTGGGGGCTTAAATGCACATAAAAATAAAGTTTGAGGGATATATAATCAATGGCTAGAGGTTATTTGTATAAATCTAGAAACTTAAGGAGGTTTATTATTGAGTTTTAAAGGTTAAGGGGGTTATTTGTATGTGGTTCAAAGTTTAGGGGAGTTGTATGTAATTTAGCTTAGGTTTTTCAATGTAATCATGGAATGTGAAGAGACTTCATTTTTTTTTTCCCGGCCTGATGAAGAGACTTCTTTCAAGTCACCATGTGATGTTGGCCTATATATAAGATTTATATGCCATGTCTCTTGGAGAATCTGATTGCAAGGACCTATAGAATTTTGGGTGATTCTTGACTTATAAAAAGATAAAAGGTCAGACCCTCTGTCCTCTGATTCCTCAAATTCTTCAAAACAGGCGTACAGCAGAATTACCCAGCAGAATGTGGAACTTGAAAGCCAGAGAATATTCCTAGGAGGGCTGAGTATTGGATTTGGTGACACCAAAGCAACAGCAGCGAACGCCCCGCCGGCACTAAAAGAAGCGAAACCTTCAGAAGGGCTGTTGGAGAAGGCTACTGCCACATGTTGCAGTAAACTTGCTGATACCTGCTGTTGCATGTGCATGCTCCGGGCTTGTTCTTTTATGAATGACCAGGCCTCTATTGTCTGCACCCAGCTATGTGCTGCTCTTGCTTGTTTCGAGATAATCAAATGCTGCATCGAGCTCTGCGATTGTGAGTGCTTCGAGTGACACCATTTACCAAGTTGAACTTGGGAGAAAATCTCTGTATCGTTCACAATCAATGTATAATATATTATTGACAATGTATATATATATATATATATATATTGCTATGTCGTCCGTACTCAGCTATATGAACTTCTTTTCTATGACCTCATTTCTTATCCCTATCTGTTAATGGGGAGGATCGTCCGGAAACAGGTATGAGAACAAATAGGTGACGTGCAATGAAAGGATGATACGTCTCAACTAAGCTTCAATTCAAACTATGATGTGCATGCAAGTGCTTGTGGTTTCGAGTCTCTTCTTTTGCATAGTTGTTTTCTAATATATATATTTTTTAATTTATAGGTCCAATGCGAAGCTTAACTCTGATATAACTTGTTAAAAACTTCATAAATCAAGTTTGAGTTCTCTCTTATTATATATTAATTTTTAAGTTTAATTTTATTTAATATGAGAAATTCATTCAAGTTCACTCAAATTTGGATAATCTATGTTTTAAAAATTGGTACAATACATATCAAGCCTTATGATTGTCTTGTTAAAGTTTTTTTTGTTTTTCATGTCCATTGTGTTTCTAAGGTACAATGGAAGTTGATTTCTTTGGGTAAAATATAATCAATTAAAAATATTTTTGTTCTTATTTTGAAAAAAAATGTGAGATTATTGATGATTTTTATAAAAACATCTTATCAATATTACCAAAAAGATGAAAAAAATCTTTCTCTAACACCAAGTTGTCCCTCTCTACCAATTTGGATTAACAATTAAGTTTGCTAGGATTGGAGACATGTATTGACTTTAGTGAATTCTTGAAATTCAATTGATCGAAATTTTATAATTTAACAATACATATCACATAAATTATGTTATGCCATTTGGATTCATCCCAAAGGCTAAAAGTTAACATTTCAATATTAAATCTATCAAATTAAATGAATTTTGAATGAAACTTGTCACATTTAACATATCTCCGTAAGCCTCTAATCTTAAACTCATTTCATTTCTAAAATGTAATAAAATTTATATTAATATTTTAACATTTTTGGTATTGATCATCTAAATAAAAAAAATTGTAAAAATTTTGACAAAACTTTGTCTGTAAATAGGATCTTTCAAAACTCTACAATACAAAAATATTTACAGAATATCATGTCAGTCAGGAGCTTAGCTCTTCCAACAAATAGACAACATATATACCAAAATAGAAGCCCTAGACATAACATATGTGGAGCACCTAACCAGACCTCTCCAAAATAACATACATAAGCATTGATAGTTACATAAAAAGGGAAATTTCGATCAATTCTTTACCCAACACATCTATGAGTTCTCATGGATCAACCGGAGAATCGGTGTCAACTAAGGTATCTGAGACCAAAAATAATTTTCAAGTGAATAACGTCCTAACAATAAATAATTGAACATAACAAAGGATTTAAATAATTATGTAGTTAAAGAGGCAACGATCTTTACAAAAATTTGGTAAACTTCAAAATAAAATAATTCTATAAAATTTTAAATAAAATCTCAAACCATTAAAATATCATAATAAATAGTATTATCACTTGATTGCAAAGAAACAAATAAACAAGATCAATAATTATAAATAATTTACTATTTAAAATTAAAGGGATGTAAAATTATCAAATAATCAAATTCATATAATAGGGACTTATCAGAACAATTAACAAACGTGGATACACAGTCCACGAAGGTAAATAATCAAACGCGGCTTTCGCCACAAAAATAAACGTGGACACACAGTCCATAAGGATAACTAACCAAACGTGGCTCTCACCACGAAACAAACGTAGACACACAGTCCACGAGGGTATGTAACCAAACGTAGCCAAGGCCATGAAACAAACGTGAGTACGATGCTCACGAATAACCATACCTTCATTTCACGTGCGTCGGCCATCGCACGAGGCTAGCACCTCCTATACACACCCTGCTAACTAGGTGAACCATGGCGCGCCAATGGCTAACGGAACTGCCGTTAGCAACCAATGTTCTATATAAAGTCTCCTTTTTAAAACCATTTTTAAACATGCGAGAAATTGATCACCATTCAATCAAATTTTCTTTTTCAATGGCGAACTCGCATGAATTATTTTTCCGTAACAATTCAATAATTTTCAAATTGAAATCCCACAATTAGAATTCAAACTTGTATTTACTGATTAACTAAAATGATCAATTCTGATAAAATAATTTCATGAAATAATATAATTTAATCAACAAAACATCTCATAATCACATTGTTGTCATAAAAAGGATTTGCATAAAAATATAATATTTGAATAAAAGACATTTTCATGAAATATCGGTTGGGACGCTATCCACTTACCTGTAATGTTCTCAAGTACGAAATTTACTCTCTAAGACTTCAATCAATTCTTCCAAGCTCTAAACACCCTATGTAAAATAAAAAAAAACAATTTGATGACCTTCATTCAAGTGTGATAAACTCTTTTCCAATATTAACAATACGGTAATCAACTAAGCTCTCAAATCTACATAATTTATATATTACTTTTTCCAATCGCTACTATAATTTATATAAATACTTTTGTGACCAACACAATAACCATATCTAAAATTATATTTTCAACTCTCCTAACATATCCAAATAGATCCCCCCCTTTTTCAGTTTAACTTTTGACCATAGTTCTTTAGAGTTATAAAGAAACAACTTCACTTCCTATTTAAAAATGTAAATCCAATAAATTTACACTAAAACTTTTCTATCAAAACTTTTAGCAAACATTTTATGTGCATTCAAAATGTAACCCATAAAGCAACAACTTAATCCATAAACTACCAATCATACTTCTCCATTCATCAACACAGTCCTGCAAAATTTCCTCAATGAATTTTTCTTAACATTTTTCCTAAAGCAATAGCAAAATAGAATTTTGTCTCCATCTTCCTTATCTTATCACAAGGAGAGATAACGTAAATCTAATATTTTCAGGAAAATAACATGTTAATTCCTCACTTTTATTACATCACCCAAGCACAACCCTTGTTTCTTTATTCTATCCACTTAACTAAAATAGTCAATCAATGCATTTATATTTCCATCTTCGGAAAAGAAGCTAAAATTTGCAAGCAAGCTAGCGAGTAATTTACGTGTATATGTACAGCTTCTTATATTAAATATGAGCATGAGTTTGCAACACATTATAAAGCAAGTAGCAGTAGCCATATATAGAATCGTCCTCTTAAGCTTCAATCTTTAGTTTGCTCAAAACTTGCTCTCAACACATTCATTTATGACAGCTGAAAAGGTAAGAAAAGTCAAAATCTTTAACCACCTAGACACTCACACGTAACTGATGCAGAGAGGAAGACAGGTGAGGTTCAACTCACCAACGAAGCAATTGAGGAATGAAGGAAGAAGATCAATGCTTCCCACGGACACACAAGCATGGCAGGGATGCAAATCAAGGGAACAAAGCAAGCCGACAGCGACCTAAGGGAAGAGAAAGAAGAATATCTACGGAATCGTTACAGCAGCGGCAGATCTCGGCCGACACCCGTTGATGACAGCGAAGGAAGGGGGAAGGAGGCGATAATGAAAATTGAAAAGCAAGACCTCTCGCTCTCGCTCGGGTTCTGGAACAATCGAGAATAAGGAAGGAGAGGAGTGAAAACAGAGCCAGCGTGCGGCCCTGTTGAGCTTTTGATTTTACCTCTGATGTTTTTTTAAGGGCAGAATGGTAATTTAGTAAGGCTGAAACTGAAAACAAATAAAATAAAATAAAACTCCTTACTGCACTGCCAAGATTCGAGCCCAGCACCTGACAAATGAATTGTTAGCATAACTTTCACCTGACCAACATTTCCTCTTGATATATCTACTCAAAATAATAATAATAATAATAATAAACTATTCTTGAAATTATAATTTTTTTTTTTTTTTTGGGGTTATGACAAAACCCATACCATACATTATGTGCATATACATGAAACAAGAATCAATTTATCAATAAATATTAGGTCTAACGTTAGAGGTTAATCCCTCACAAGTGACAACTTAATGAGTTAAAGTTTAATTTTTTTTTTTTGAGAAAGGTGTTCATATTAGTGTCTAATAATACCTTGAATAAGATTGTTTTCAATAGAAGGATTCATGTAGGGAAAAAAGATAATTTGAGAATTTCCATAAATCAAAATAGTATTTTAGTCAAAAAGTTTTAAAAAAATAAACTAGTTATTTTCATTTTCAACCACATCATATATTCTCCTTTAACTTTTCCAAAACGTACAAAATATAGCAATATACCAGCAACATTTCTCCGATCACTCTTCAATGTTGATGTATTAACATTTTATTTTATCTTAAATAAATTAAAATATAACCTTAAAAATTTTCCTTTTACTCAAATGTTTCGTTTTTTAATCTAATTTTTTTGAGGAAAAATTGTCAGATATCAATGGGGTATTCCTTACATTACACTACACGCATCCGCATTCAGTCCTTATCAGTTCCAGAAGCAATTCTGACCTTTCAAATAAGCCTTATTTGATCTTCATCATCCATTTAAATTAATTTCTAAATATTTTTAATATTATATTTATTAAAATAAAAAATATAAAAAATTTTAATATTAAATTTAGACTATTTATAATACATTTAAATAGTTAATTTATAAAATTTATAAATTTTTTAATATTAAATTATATTATCTAAATTATATCTAAACTGTACAGAGTCTATGTGTGTTGTCAAATTGTAAAACTATAAAAAAATTTAATATTAAATTAGACTACTGGATTAAATTCATATTGGTTAGATTGGTAATAAAAAGATATATTAAAATTTTAAAATTTTTATAATTTTTATATTAATAAATATAATATTAAAAATTAATTTAAATGAATGATAGAAATCAATTTAAATTAAAATAGAAGGCTAGAAGCACGCGATGCTCATCATGAGTAACGAGCATTGAATGCAATTTCAATACTACATGAGCTCCTTGACAAAGTAGCTAGGATTTATTCAGCCTAAAAAATAGCCTGAATCATTTTAACTGAGAAAATAATTTTGGAGGAATGAAGCTAAAGTTTCAATTTAAAGTGGATCTTCTGAGTGAAATTGACACCAGAAATGAAATTAGATGAAACCCATCAAATATGAGATAGGTTAGATTTGATGTAGTTTGCCAACTATAATGGTGTAGTTGCTTGTGGAGGCCTTCTAAGATATGATAAGGGTAATTGGATAAAAGATTTTTCCAAAAATCTTGGCTATCAACTCAACACTGTTGCTGAACTTTTAAGAATAATGGAAGGGTTGAACCTTTGTTGGAATGCTAAGCTCACAAGAGTAAATGTCTACTTGGCTTTTATGGAGGCTCTATTTCTCATTGATTGCAACCTTGTTGATAGCCATGCTCTCTTAGCTATTATAAAAAACATTAGGAATTTTATCATGTGAGATTGAGAGATAATATTTGATCATGTTTATAAAGAAGCAAATAAATGTACCGATCTTTTAGCCCACAGGACTCTCAAGCTTTCAAGGATTATTTTGATATTTTGTTATTTGATAGACTGCTTTTGATTGTAAGAGTTTTATGACTTTTGATTTGACCTAATCTTGTCTCTTTGTACAGTTTTTACCATGATCTTGTATTAAAAAAAATTAGAGGAATGAATTAAAATTTTCTAATTAAATTTTTTTTTTCGAGCAAAATGTTTTATAATTAAATTAAAAGAGTATAAATTAACGCAATATGTTTTGCCGAAGGTAAAGCCGGATGTTTGACTATGGTCGCATCCAAGTCGGTTCCCGCGAGTCCATCGGGATTTGTCTGGGAGATGAACTCTACTTATTAACAATTTCTATTTCGCTAAATTTACGTTTAAAGCCGCAGATTTTCTCAAATCGTACCGAGATTTGGTTGCCGCTTTCGTTATTTTCTTGGGTTGTGGTGGGATTTGTCATTCTCTTCTTTCAGTTTTCCTCCCCAGAATTACAGGTATCTCTCTGTTTGAATACTGAAAAATGCATTGAGAAAAGCAAAGCTGCTTTAGTTTTTTTCCATTTCTCCTTCCGCTGTCATACTCAACGGTTAGTGTTAGGAACTTATGAATGAGAAGATAATAGGAATTCAATTGGTCTTGGTTGGCTTCGTGGAATTGAAAACAAGGGAAAAAAAAAAACAGAATCATATTGTTCTTTATTTTGTTATAATTTTATAAACTTTGTGTGAACCGTTATTGCTGTAATTATTGCTGATCCTTGCAGTTTGGTTCTTCAAATGAGGCTTCCTTTTTTTGGATTAATCGGAATGCTTCTTCTTTTTGCTTTTGTTTCTACTTTCTGGTAAGCATTCACTGGCATTCCAGTCTCCTTTGAATTTAAAATCTATATTCAGCACTGTCATGGTTATTAACTTACTAAGATTAGAGCAATAACTTTTTACCTGCTTAGAGTTAAGCATATAGGATTCTAATATTTAAAATCGGTGGTTTCAATAATCTGTAGTCTTATGATCTTTGGGAAACTCGATGGAAAATTCGGAGAAGTAATTGATAAGTTCCACAATGGGCAGCAAGAAATATTCTTGATTTTCTGCTGCTACTCCTCTCTTCTTCCTGTCTTGTATGCTTGATAGCTTTGAGTGATTCAACTGGCCAATAATTTTAATGACTATTTGAAGAGAGTATTTTTCATGCAAATTCTTACAAGCATCGAATTTTAACAAGGGGCTTGAAAATGTTATTGGTTTCGTATTACAAAAATTGTATAGGCTTATGTACATATCGATACTGTATATTTCATCATGTAAAGTCACATGTATATGTGATATCACTATATTGAAGTTAAACGTACTTAGAAGTAGAGTCAAGACAAATTGACTAGATGGTCTTCTAAAAACATACAGGTCTTTGAGCAACGGAAATACAAACAAGGAGAAAACTCTAGCTATTATAAAACCAGATGGATTGCTTGGTAACTACACAGATGACATCAAGAAAACAGTTCTAGAATCTGGTTTCCGCATCTTTAAGGAAAAGAGAGTTCAACTTGATGGGGACACCGTAGCAAGATTTTATGCAGAGCACTCTTCTAAAAGTTTCTTTGCCAGCCTTGTAAAGTACATGACAAGGTATCTCCTTGACTGTCCTGATGTCAGCATGTAACTGTGTCATAAGTTTTTCAAGTTAAACTCTTTGTTGGATTTGCCCACCGCTTAAGTAGATACAGAGAACATAATTGTCTTATTTGCTCCATCTCGTTGTAATGTTTCAATTTTTGGGTTTTGTTTGAACAAAGGATTAACTACTTAATTGTATTATTAGTTTAGAAGAGTGTAGATATTTCTGTGTGTGTGTCGTTGATGTATTTCACCTTTCTCTACGTGTAATGATCCTATGCTGTACCTTGTAACTGTTTTTACTATAAAGCAATATTCCTGAGGCCCAGTATTCACACCTCAATTCTTTCCTTTTTCAATCTGGTTCAATGGTATCTAAGTTCAATATTATGCCTATATGGCCAGATTCATTGAATTTAAATTGAGTTTCTTTTGTTTTATTTGTAGCGTCTCTCTCTTGTCTATGCAATACAAAATTGGTTCTTTATAATTATGGTGGAAATGAAGGTGCTCAATACCGGATTACCATAGCCAAGAGGAGGTCTTTTTAGTGTCCATAATACAAAATCTTTAACATTATAACTTCTACTATTGTATGGTAAGCACAATTAAGATGGTTTGTGTCAATCTCTATCCTTATTATATGGTTGTCAGCTAATGATTTTTGTTGTTAACTACCTGGACGATGAAATTCTGGCTTCACTTTTGTGGGAAGTAATGCATCATCAGTTCATCACAGTTATTTCTGTTTAGCTCTCATTTTAATCTTGTTTGATGTTGCTTTCTAGCTGTTGTCTTATTCTTAATTTCCTTGCATCCTTTTCTGTGACAATTGTGTATCAGCGGACCAGTATTAGTTATGATTTTGGAGAAGGAAAATGCTATTGCTGATTGGCGTGCTTTAATGGGGCCGACTGATGCACGCAAGGCTAAGATTACTTACCCTCACAGGTCGTGTGTGTGTGTGTGTTATATTGGTTATGCTTCTCTCTGTTTGGGTTCAGATGAACTTTAGGTTTAAAATATTTGCTCAACCTTTTTCAATTGAGCCCCTAGACTGTGTGATCGGAGAGAAAATTTCATGACAATTGAAATAGTTTTCTTTTATATACAGCCTCAGAGCAATGTGTGGTCTGGACACTGAAAGGAATTGTGTACACGGATCCGATTCTCATAAATCTGCACAAAGAGAAATATTATTTTTCTTCAGAGAGCTGTCTACAGGTTAATTCTAACTCAATATTTTTCAAGAAAAAAATGGACAACATATTTTCTCGTTCCAGATGAGACACTGCACTTGATTTAGGCACTAGGATTCTTCATTCTTGATTATTGCAAAGTCATTAGGTAGTCTGACAGGCTATGTACCCCAGTAACTTGGTCAATGAGCTAATTCCTGGCACCAGCCTGTGTTTGAAATTGTTGTGAATTTGATATCAAAGGTCTACTGCCCTTATCCCTTTACCCACTTGCTACAATCAAAGGAAGCACCTTTGAAATTAAGACACACTCACAAGTTGCTTTCTTTCAAAATTGGTTTGAAGGATGAAAATTTCATTATTATCTTGATTATGGTAGCCCTTTTAAAATACTTTCTCCGGTTCCTATTATAAGACACCTCTAACTATCTTACCAAAATCAATAAGAGGTGGTTGAGTTAGTGACTTTGTTTTAAAATAGAATAAACTTCCAATTGTACCCTATTTAAAAGAAAAATATTCAAATTTGCATGACATTATTTCTTATAGTTAATGAGTTTAAATAGGGGTAATATTGAAAAAAATGTAATTAATACACTATCAAATGTCTTATAGTAAGTATCAAAGAATCTTCACTCCTTACCAATCCCATACCATTCCCATAATCAAACCCTTACCATTTTCCAACTTGAGCCAGAATTCCCTGTTTATACAAACATATATATATATATATATATATATGTATGTATCAAGAAGTTCTGAACCCTTCCCACTACGCACACCCCTCTCCACCCTTGCCACCTGAGTTAAATTCGAGTGGTGGAATTCTTTATTTTATCATATCATCTAATGAATGTTAAGTAATTAATTTGTCTCTATTTATTTGGTCAGATGTGGTTACTGAACATGATGAACTGTAGCTGGTAAGGATTTGAAGCAGACAGGCAATTTTCTTGCGGAGCTAACTTTTTTGGTGCGCATTCATGCGCTGCACAGAATTGTTTCAATTCCTACTGGTCTTAGATTTGCTTGATTTTTTGTCAAACTGAGTTGAGCGGATTCGAAAAGGTTGAATCTATTTTATAGTTGTAACTTGAAGATGAAATTTTTACCCAAAAAATATGATTCATATTTAGCCCAAAAAAAAAACAATTTAACTATTATTATTCTATAAAAGTGACTCATATTCAAAAAGTAAAAATAAAACGTGATTGGTTGCTGCAATGCGACGCTGGGGATCCATGGTTTTAAAGGAATGGCTCATTGAAACTCAGCCGTTTCTGTCTCATCCCAAAGGAAAAGTGTGGTCAAGTTTGTTTTGTTTATCAATTTCAAACTTTAAAATTCGCTGACAATGGCCAGCGGTTATATAAAATGCACAACCACATGCTCAATTTGTCTATCGACAAAGGCAATAATCAGATATTCAGAGTTCAGGCGCTGCAAAATCAATCATCTTCTGTAAACTAATGCCTGGTTTGCAATTAAAGTTGCTGGTTGTAATAAGCAGAATTGACAGGAAAAGTGGGGTGAGGATTGTTGTTGTTTTGCCTCAAAGCACAAATCTTTTAGTTTCTCTCACGCTAATATCAGTTGAAGATTCAGCTTGAGCCTTTTTTTACCCGAGTCGCTTTAACTTGTTAATATACAGATCCTTTGTATTGAAGCCTAAACTTTTGAACTTTTTCTTCTCTCATTAAGGAGCAAGTTCGGGATGGCGTTCAAAATCATGCATACCAACCCAAAATGCACAAGTCACGTGTGCGTTTTAGTGTACCTCCGAGGCCAGTTTTTGGTGGCATGGTAAATCTTCACCATTTGATCTCATGGCCCACAAAGCAATGTTGCTGGCTTGTTGGCAAAGAAATGGTGGAGTTACTGGGCCGTGATTATTTCTACAAAAACATGCATTCCAATGCTTCCAAATGCAAAAAGTATGTCCTTTTTCTTTTGGGTGCTGAGAAAACGGACACACACGATTGAAGACCTGTGATTAAGTGAAGATGGGATGAAGGCTCAAATTTATGAGTCATTTATACACATGGATATCCTAACAAACTCTCTCTCTCAAATGCAAATGCACAATCACTAGTTAAGAATAAGGGAGAGAACAAATGAGTAATAATAACGTAAGAACGCTATTTGAAAGTTTAAATTTATAGATTGTTTTTTTTTCATTTTATATTAAGTATTAAACTCAATAATAACGTAAGAACGCTATATTTGAAAGTTTAAATTTATAGATTGTTTTTTTTCATTTTATATTAAGTATTAAACTCAACTTTATTTAATATATTTCTCATATCAGCTTAAATATTCTCATATTGGACATTCTAGCAAAACTCTCTTCATCCACTAGATCACATTGATATCAGAGTTTTGGGTACGGAGAGAATTACAGGAAGCTCGATTAAAGAGGATTGGTTTCTTGTAACTTCATCGTTATGCATGTATTTTTCTTTCCAATCCCTTAAAAAGTCTATACAAATTGCAATTAGCATACACTTCATAACAAATTATGTTGTTGTACTTTGTATATCATAATGTGTCTCATTCCAAACTCTTTACAGTCTGCAATGTCTCAACTCACATTTAGTTTTTCATAGAAGGCAAAAAAAAAAAAAAAGGTTGAGTATAAAGAATTGACGTGTTTACAGATAATCGATCTCGTAGCACTTAGTTGTAAATAATTTTTGAAATTCATTTATAAAAATTCTTTCATATATAAACTTATGTCCCTCGTCCATCCGTCCGGTGCCATGAGATCTGACAGGTGGCAAGTCAAATTCTCAAGGTGAGCAGGCGGCCAAGGTATGTGTAGGACTAAAAAAGTATGGCCATTAAGCCTCTAATACTTTTAATATTATAATGAAAAATAATTTATACTCCTCCCAATTTTTATTATAAGATATTTTTAATTATTTTATGTATTTTAAAAAAATTAATTTTTTTCTTGATATCATTAAAAAAATAATATATACTTTTATTTTTATTTATAGTTTTAAATAATAATATAACTATATTAAATACCTTTACACTAATTAAGAAATGACAAATTGAAAAAAGTGATTTAATTAGTGTAAGGTATTTCATATTTTAAACTAAAAATTACTTCTATAATATGTCCTACGAATAGGATTGAAGGGAGTACGTGTGTGTATAATATTTTACATTATTATATTGAAAAGCATTAATACCCAATGAGTAAAGTTTTTGGTAAACCAACGGAAAATAGTCCTAATTCCAACTTCCATCTCGGTCATCTTAAGAATTTTACTTGTCAAATGGTAAGTTATATATGCGGCATCATTATTATAAAATACCATCCAGAAGAGATAAATTATTTTTAATATAAGGTATTTAATAGAATATTAATTATATTTTTTAATATTATCTCTATTTATACTTGTTAATAATGAGAGAGAATATAATTTAAATTTTTTTATTTAAATATTAGTAAAATTATATGTTCATTTTTTTAAAATAAAATTAATAATTTAATCACTTTTTATTAATTTTGATAAGATGGTTAGATGTGACACATAATTTGTATCAAAGGCAGTATGTATTTTGATGAAGGAGTTTCAGAACTAATTTACAACTAAGGACCCCACCATGTAATTTACCATTTTAAAGGACTTTAGGATAATAAAATTGCTTCTGGTTGTGGGCACGTGAGAATAATTCTTCCATTTTTTTATTGATAGAGATATATTATTTTTTTTATTTATTTACTATTTACTATCTAATTTAATATTGGTGGACATTTTTAAAAGTACATTTAAATTAAAGAAACAAGTTTAAATTGAAACTAGTTTTTAAAAACAAATCTATAAAAATTTCTTCATTTAATGATGGATTGAAAATTGAATATCTTTTATGTCCCAGGATCTTTTGTTCATCTCAAAGACACCAGTGTGCTCAGTGCTGTACTTATGTTTCACATTAAATTTATATTTATACTTCAACTTAAATTTGGTCAATGAGGTTTTTTTTTTTTTTTTTTGAAAGAAAAGTGGCAAGCCTGAGCTTGGGGCGGTTTAAACAATGCTAGCCTTATCAGCCGCTAGCATATCCAAACAAAACGATGGTATTTGATTTTAATATGAGTTGCATTTTTTTTAATCTGACATTGGACAGAATACTTTTATTTTATATTATTGTAGTACTCTTGTTAAAATAAAAATAACAAAATAAAACAAAATTTAAATACGTCAATGATATGGGAACAAAGACACTTCAGATCTTAAATGCATTTGTATCTTAATTGCTCTCTCTGGATTACGGTATAAATAATTGTTAACTAATTTATGTTTTTTTAAAAAAATTAGTTTAAATTCCAATTTTTTTTTTAAAATTCACACTTATACTAATCATACCATTAAGTGGAATAAATATAACATTTGATTTAGTCAAAAATATTCACATTAATTGCTTGAGTGGGATATAATAAAATAAGGATATAATTATACATACATACATATATATATATATAACAATATTCAATATATATTTTAGATTAAATGAGTCTTTAAAAATCACCTGGCCTGCCAAAACTTAAATTTGAGAGCAATATCACAAATGCCAAGATGAGAAAATGGCTTTAGCAAACACAATCCTAATACAAAGCCAAAGATGGAGGGTTTGATGTCTTCGAGTGAGAAGGCTATGTACAAGCAAGGGTCTTTCATAGCCTCATGTTGTGCCAAACCATGAAAGAGAGACGAAGCAAGCTAGTCAAACTGCCATCATGCATGCCTGGACGATTTGATTCCACGACTCTCACTCTCTTTTTTTTAATTATGGCTTACGTGCCTAATCATTCCTTAATTAGTAATCACCTTTTTCTGCTTTCTCTTCTTAGATATCTTTCCCAAGCCCTAAGCATCTAGTAACTTCAATATCCACATGGCCACCTATATATATATGTATATTTCTTCCTCCTCGATCACAAAAGTTCGTAATCTCGGTTTATGTGACCATTTCTTTATTTAGTCTCTTCTCAGTACTTTGCATCTATCTCGAGGATTTTTCTAACCCTTAATTTACGTTCTTCCTTTTCAAACACCAATTAGTATGATCTGTTTCTACAATCTTCGTGTTATATTACCTATTAATTAATTAACAAGGTGCTAAATTATAATTACTACTGTCTATTAATTAACTCTAGTTTTTAACTGGTTAAGATCGATCGTTAATTAGCTTATCACGAGACTTCTTCCATTTTGATATGCCTGATTTCTAAGAATTATGGATTAAGATATTATACTATGATACTTTTGGTCTGAAGAAGGTTAAGATTATACTAATACGAAAAACATATAATTACCAGAGAATTAATTAATGGCCATGAACTAAAATAATAATATCAAGGTCGACCTGCTAGAAGTATAAAATTTTAATATTTATATTTGACACAAAGTTTGGCCCCAGGTACCATCCCTCTTTTTTTTTTTTTTTTTTCCAGTCTCTCACTGAACTATTTAGTCTTCTGTGACATCATCTTAGCAATAATTAAGTTGACAGGTCATCGGGTTTTGGAGTGTAGGGACTCATTTTAGAGTTTAAATAAATATGTGGGGTTAAAATAAGAATTTAACCAAGTTATTCTGCAATTCCTCCTATTTTAAATAAAATGGTTTTGCCACTTTAATTAAGCAATGATCTCGTGATGGAATAATTGAATCTCTTCAAGCAAGTCATAATGCATGCTCGGCTATTTATCAATTTTTTAATATAAGTATAGAGATATTTTTTTAAAAAAATAATATATCGTTGAATTAGATAAGAGTTCTGAACTATCATTTTTTCTCCTTCCTGATACTTTAAACAAGTTGTCTCACTGGTAGCAGTACCCCCTAGCTCGAAGGATATTTTAAGTTTAAACTTGACATTAACGTATATGTGTGTGCATATGGGTGTGTATTTCCTTTTTTTATAGGGAAAGGTTAAGAGTAAAGTTTTAGAAAATAATTAATCAATTATTGTACTCCTTGGTAACACTAAAAACTTTGAAGGAGCTAGTATATTGATAATTCTGATATTGGCTTAGGGAACACACAAAAAATTAGAGTGAGCTTTGTAATTGATAATTAATGGGACAATTTTACAGGAGCGTCCTGGGACTGGTGCGTACAAAGTTTACGGGTTCACCAATT